ACGTGTCCGCGGTTGGGGGGGGGGGGGGGGGTGGTTTCCCTTCACTACTCACCGGTGTCGTGTGCCCCAATTATCAGGAAGTTGGGCGGCAGATCATGACTTTTCGTCTGGCTTCCCGATTGCCTGTGAAGCCGGTGTTCTAGTGAAAGAACACCGGCTTCACTTGTTGAGGCTGCCTGGCTTCGTGACAAAAAAGGAAGCCGGGCAGTGAGTCATGAGGTGCCGTCCGGCTTCCTGATTGGTCAGGAAGCCAGGCTGCCCACCAACAGGTGAAGCAAGCTTCTTAGCCAATTCGGAATCTGGGGGCAATGTCATGACCAGTGATTGGCTAGGAAGCCGGCTTCACTTGCTGTGCAGCATGGCTTCCTGACCAATCGGGATGCTAGTCATGACGTGCCGCCTGGCTTCCTGATTGGTTAGGAAGTCAGGCTGCCTACCAACAAGTGAAGCCGGCTTCCTAGCCAATCTGGAAGCCGGGCAGTACGTCATGACCCACCGCCCAGCTCCCTGATTGATAAGGAAGCCAGCTCCCTTGGCACTGCCAGTCAGAGGGAGATCAGACCGGAAGGTTGGTATTTGGAGCATTTTTTTTACTGCAGTCCCCTTTTCCTGTTCTGAAGTTATTGATATTAATCTGTACAGAGGAGCTTACACTCTAATGTCCCCCCACAGTCGCACACTATTATACATGTATATAGCTCTGACATATACCGCAGTGCTGTACAGAGAACAGTGAGACAGTCGCATCAGTCTCTGCACCAGAGGAGCTTACACTCTAATGTCCCCCCACAGTCACACACCATTATACATTATATAGCTCTGACATATACCGCAGTGCTGTATAGAAAACACTGAGCCAGTCACAAGAGTGCTCAGAATTGACTTAACCTATTCACTATATCTCCCTTGTATGATCAAACTATGTGATTTGTATTAAAATTAATTAAAGGGAATTTATCAAAATCTGGAGAAGCTGTGCCTGGCAACAAATCAGCTTCTCTTTCAAATCTTAACTGAACAAACTGAAGAGAAAAGCTGCTTGGTTGCCCTGGGCAACTGCTCCAGATTCTGTCTGCTTCAGCTTTGATAAATTCCCCTCATTGTCTCCGGCATTCTGTACTCGGGCAATGAGAAGAGTAGAAACTTAGAAACAGTTTTGTGTGACATTTGTCTTTCCCTTCTGAACAGACCGCCATCTTACTTCTCCGCATTGATGACATCGTATCCGGCCTCAAGAAGAAGGGAGAAGATCACGGTAAGGCCACACCGGCCCCAGAGAACCCCCAGGAATGAAGACAGCACGGGTGGCCGGTCACATGACTTGGTAGACCCACCTGGAAGCGGATGCAGCACTTGAGCAGACCATGCGGACGGGCGTCCCGACATTTCAGCGTATACTCTGGTCATGCAGCAGAAGTTGTTTTGTATTTATTACTGTTTGAGTTTGGGGGAACATGGCGCTAGCTGGGGGGGCCAGGGAGTGCTTTATATACATCAACACTTTCCACTCCTAATAAAACTTCATTGTAATCCAGAGTGTCTGTCTGAGTCTTATCTCACTTGCTGTCTATATTTGAGCCTGTCCAATCTTAAAGAGCAGGAAGGGGCAGATTGCACAGCAACCAGGAAGAGACCGGCTGGCCTTTTCCTGTACAAAATTCAAAATGGTACTGAGCACTTTCTGTGCTTCAAGGTTAAATTACAAGCAGCCTTTTGCATGGACTAGGTCTTCTCTTGCAATGTCTTCAGGTTTACTGAATCAGGACCTTTTAAAGATGATCCCCAGGCAGCCCACCCCTCTTAATTGCGGCCACAAAATAAAAAAAGAAACTAAATTTATGGTCATGTGATGATTAGGGCCAAATTCCTCTGTCTTTTTCCTTGTAGAGGAAGAGGGGTCCTTCTTGGGGTGTCCATATTACTGCCAAGGTGATATGGGACTTTTATTGGCTGGGCCTCCTCAGGATCTAGAACAGTGCTTCTCAACCTTTCAGTCACAGCTTCCTTTTGAAAGTATGTAAATCCAAAAAAAGCCATACCAGATCCTCATCCTAGATAGGGGTCTGGTACAGATTTTAAGACGTGACCAAGTATGTATTTGGTGGCACCTTGAAACAAAAACCCAGGCTCAATTGCAGCCAATGCTTGCTTGTCTAAGAGGGGACCCCATGCAAAAAAACATGGAGCCACCCTGCATTAGCATCACAGATTTCCATCATGGAAATACATAATGCTGTACAAAAATGTGAAGGCACCCTGGTAAAAAAAGACTGATAGAGGAGTGGGTCTTAGGCTATCGCAAAGAGGGAACCGATTATCGTGGTTGCAGATGCAGTACTGATCGGAGATGTTCACGCCTGAAATTGGGGGCTTTAGTTTGCCAGAAGACGAGCTATAAGAGAAAGCTGTAGGCAAATGTCAACTTAGCCTGTTATCCTTCATTTTAGAGTTCATGGCCAGACCCATGCAGTGCAAAATGGAAGGTTCTCTTTAATGCCACCCTTTTTCAGCTGTGCATGCTCAATATAAGCTCCCATCCACACCAGGTGCTAAGAAAGGCAAGCGCTAAGGACTCTCCCTAGTCCTACATGACTGCATATGGCCATCGTCAGTTCTATCGCATACTGCCCTATACCTGGAGGTACGAAGTATTATGGGCCACCTGCCAACCACCAGTGCTGTCACATATTCCTCCATACCTAGAAGTAATACAGTATTTTAATTTCTCCCGGTGACTGAACAGAGGAGTGAGGTAAAGCAGAGTATATGATACTGAGTAGGAACATTGCACTTTACACCAAGGCACAATCAGGTAAATGATCTTTACATGTATACCAAGGACAGTGCAGAGAACGTTCTGATCATAGAGTTCCTTTATTGTGACAAATAACTTCACGGCTACCCAGAAACAAGGAAAGCCCTCACTCAGGTGTAAGGACTCCTCAACCCACAAAAAGAAAAAGTGGGGTTTGAAGTGAATCGCACTTACTGAAGATAGATGAACTACAATGTTAGAGAGGGACTTGATGCCAGAGGATAAAACACCATGGACAGTAAGACATCCAGAACCACCACCTCCTTCCCTCTTCACACAGGGAAACAGGACCACAGGAGAAACAAGAACCCACTCGGCAACACCCAGTAAAAAGCGCAGTACGCTATCTCATAGCGAGTGCTATAACGGGAGGAACGCTGGCATGCCCCTCTTGTGGTCCCGTTCCTCCATATGGAGGGGGAAGGAAAGGGGATTGTCTACTGACCCTTGGCTAATCTCACTTTGGACAAGGATATCCCATAGGGGGTCTTCAGGTATGGGGTCACTAGACATATTAGCTGTGGAAAAGTTGGGTTGGATATTTTGGAATTTGGACCTGAAATCCAATTAGGTTCGGGTTTCAGATTCAGACGAATTTCGGATGAGTTTAGGAACGTATATTTATTACGACTACAACAGAAAACTATATACAGATATTAATACTAAAGCTGAATCTCCCAGACCTGAATGGCATTCTGGATCCGAATTTCTGAACTGCATTGAGTAGCTCCCAAATGCCATTCGGGTCTGGGAGCCTCAGCTTTAGGAATATATGTATATGGCTCCCAGACCCGAACAGCATTCGGGATCCGGATTTCTAAATAGCATTTACATATATTACTAAAACTGAGGCTCCCAAACCTGAATGGCATTTGGGTTTCCGAATGCAATTTGGAAATTCCGATCCCAAATGCCATTCGGGTCAAGGAGCCTCAGCTTTAGCATTATTATTATCGCTTCTCGGCCTTTTGGCTAAGATCAAGTGTAGTATCTGTTCTTATCAGTTCTAGAGGGGAAAGGCATGGACCGTCCTTGGGACGGACGGTTGCTTAGTACTCTCCGGAGTGAAGGTAGGTGCTTGAGGCGACTCCCTTTTTGCAGGGGGGGGTGTTTCCTCGGCACTATTGCCTACCGACTGAATAAGATGCGAAGCTTGGTTTTGCTAGTTGCGTCAGGCCCTGATGTACGGGTAGACCCTAGACAGTGGGAGGACCCCCGACGGCACTACCTCCAGATTTGAGCGGAGAACCACGGGGTCTGGCCCGAGGGTTGGGGGGGTGGCAGAAGCCCGTGGTGTTGTGCCCCCTGGGGGTGGCGTCCCAGGGGTGCTCAGGAAGTCACATGGGTGTGGGACCCCACATGACTCAATGGCACTTGGTCACACACCACCTTGCAATTTTCTGCACTTCGCCTCCAAGACAGGCCTTATGGCTAGTCTGGGGCAATATTTTTGCACTCCGGCCCCTAAGGCCTGTCAGAGTGGTGCACTGGAACTTTAGATTTATTTATGCACTAGATCCACGATTGGCACTTTTTTATTTTACTATTTGACCCACAGATGCTGACAGTGCAGGTTTCTTCGGGGCCTATTCCTGAAGCTGGGAGGAGATTCTGTGCCTCCTATGGGGTTCTCTGTGTCTCCTCCCACCCAGGAGGTGGGTTTCTCGTCGGAGATCCCACTTGCCTAGTACTGAGGGGGACCTGTCTCGGCAGGTCCCTAAAGGAAATGGTCCACGGCCTTCGGGTTGGTGGTCCACCAGTCTCAACCCCTGTCAGTAGCCTTGCGCCCCGGGGGGTCGGGAAAGTAGGTCCCTTCTTTGGAAGGACCTTGCACCCTTGTGCACGTTTTTGTGTGCTGTGATTTCACGGTTCACTTTTTTTGTTCACAGGGGGAAGTTTTGATGCACGTCCACGGGCTTCGAAAAAAAAAAAAAATTATTATGTACAGTATATACTGAACATGAATTTTCGTTACGGCATGTGACTTTTCTGGCCAATCAGATGGTTGCCATAACGAAAATTCATGTTCACCCATTCGGATGCATTAAACCGAAAAATACATCTGATTATCCAGAAAAGTCACATGCTCGCTTCAGTTTTATTTTTGAATGAAATTCGGAACAGGATCCAAAATTTGGAAATGGACATTAGAATTCGGACCGCATTGAGATTCGGATGTGTCCGAATTTTGGAAAATTTGTTCGAATTGCACATCTCTAGGGGTCACACCATGCCCCTGTATATCACCCTTTGGATAACCCAACACACTGCACCACATGCCAAGGTGGGTTGCTCACGCTGGATCCACATTACAGGACGGCCCCACATCTTTAATCTAGTGGGGTCCAGGTATAGTATAACTCCGAGGACCTCGTAAATGGATTGATTTATGAAAAGTACTGAGAAGCAAATATCTGCTTGTAAGTAGCAACCCATCCAAAATCCTATTTTTGCGCCCTCCAGAAGAGACAGCTGGAAGCTCATTGGCTGCAGGTACTATCCTTGTCAGCACGCTTCTTACATGAACCCCAAATGTTTTTTTTTTTTCCTCTCGCAGGAGGTGTTATTCTAGAACGCCCCCAGGGTTATGTTACTAGGTCAGTCTAAATAAAGTTCATTGAAAAAAAAAAAAAGTTCAAAAGAGGCAAATCTTTATTTTGTAGGAAACAGATGTCATTTCAGGTTAGGATTATGTACAAAATTACAATAATAAATTATATACAGCGGTCTCACAGCTTGTGTTAGATGACAGGCAAATTACTGAGCATCAGCAGATTTTTTTTATTCCCCTGGAGTCAGAGGTTCACTCCACCCAGCAGTGATATTCCTGTTATAGGTAGAACCTGTCCAAGGTCCCCTTTGCCCCATTATAGTAATAACTTTTAAACAGGTAACCTTATTTAAATCAAAGTGATAAAGGGCTGGTGAGCAAACTCCAGAAGGGAAATGTGATGCCTCTGCTTAAATACAGGTGATTAACATTAATGCGACAATCAGGACATTAATAACAGTGATTGGACGAGAATGAGCAAATCGACCTTTAACCCCAAACAGGAAGTCCTCTTATTAGATGTAAACAGTAACTGGATGACATTTAGTTTTCTCTGGGCTCTGTGTATAATTTGTCATCGCAACACTCCTCCACATTTTTTAAAAATAAAATCCTTGTTTTCCCTCTTTTTCTTATTTTGTTCCATCTCCTGCATCCACTTCCTGTCTATATGCGCTTTAGTGATGGGTGCAATGCATTTCTCAGGGTGGGTTTCCCGATGGTGAGATCAGTGCACCGTTTCTGCATAATGTGCACTGAAACAGCCACTTGTCTGCATTAGACATCCATGTGACAACGCAGGAGAACAACTGGAGGAAAGGGACAGAGTGTTGTCACTCTATAACAGGAAGTGCCTGAACAAGGCCCTTCATGACAGGACCACCGGAGAGTATTTTAAGCAACACTTCCTATTGGCTGTCCAGCATGGGGTCCTCTCAGGATCCAGAAAAGGAGCCTGCAGCAGTGACATCAGTGCCAGGGAATTGTCAGGGACCAGCCAGCACCGATGAGGGTCCTGGACAGCAGGCTTGGGTGAGTTTATCTTTCTTCACAGGGTAAGAAACAAAGGAAAACAAATTGAGGATGGGTTAGAGGAGGATGGGTGGGTGATCATGAAAGCACTTATAGGGGTCATGGGACGGTGGTTGGATCTCAAGGCTTCAGCCAGGAGTGGACAATATGGAGGAGGTCAGGCCGCAGAGCCCAACAAAGCCTCGATCGGTCCTGTAAAGACTGTTAGTGGGGACTCAAGGCTTCAGCCAGGGGTGGACAATGCTCAGGATGGACAGTATGGAGGAGGTCAGGCCGCAGAGCCCAACAAAGCCTCGATCGGTCCTGTAAAGACCGGCAGTGGGGACTCAAGGCTTCAGCTTCAGCCAGGGGTGGACAATGGTCAGGATGGACAGTATGGAGGAGGTAAGACCGCAGAGCCCCACAATGCCCGGGTTGGTCTTGTAAAGACCTAGCTTGTCCAGCGGGATGAAAAGGTCACAGGTGTTCTTGGCCAGGTCAAGCAGAAGAGGAGGGTTGTTGCGGAGGATGTGTAAGAGGAGGCGGATTCGGAAGGCCACCACCTGACGATAGGAGGGGCTTCTGCGAGAGACCACCCCATTCTCAGCGGCCAGTTTGGAGGAGGACCCACTGCTGCCGGATTCGGCCTCCATCAGGAGCTTGAGTTCGTAGAGGTCTCGGCTGAGGTTCATGATGAGCGAGAACAAGTAATACCTGCAGAGGGGACATTAAATATGGTGTGACAGTAGAAGACATAAACCATATGGTCAAGTCTGTGGACACGTGACCATCACATCTATATGACATTCCCCACATGGCCAATAATATGAAGTTGCCCCCTTTGTGGCTATAACATTCTCCATTCTTCTGGAAAGGCTTTCTACAAGATGTTGGAGGGCGTCTGTGGGCATTTGTAACCACTTGTGAGGTCAGGTACTGACCACAATCAATGTTCAACTCACCCCAAAGGTGTTCACTAGAGCTGAGGTCAGAACTCTGTGCAAGACACTTCAGTTCCTCCACACCAAACTGGTCCAACCATGTCTTTATGGAGCTGGCTTTATACGGACAGTCAAAGGACCTTCACTAAAGTGTTACCACGAGATCGGAAGAGCCCAATTGTCTAAAACAGGTGTAGGCAACCCTGGGGTCACATTTGTAAAGGTAGCATAGGCAAATTAAAGTGGGTGATTGGATACATCATGCATTGGTTGTTATTGTGCCCCCCTCCCCTCCAAGTAATGTTTTACTTACATTAGTGGTGGGGCCCCAGTAACATCCCCTCTTACATTGGGGGTTAGGGGGGGGGGGGGCCCCGGTAATATCCCTTCTTACAATGGCAGTCAGTAGGGAGCCCCAGTAACATCCTCTCTTACATTGGTGGTCAGTGGGGAGCCCCAGTAAGATCCTCACTTACATTGGTGGTCAGTGGGAACTCCCCATTATAGTTTCTCCATTATACTGCTCCTCACGATAGTGCTGCTCATCATCATCATAAGATTAGCACATACCCCCAGTGCAGCAACTATATCAGTGGAAAACCAATAAACTTTGGCTTTAGAGGCAGAGCAAGACCTGACCAATCTGAGCCATGATAAATTATCAGCCATCTTATATCTTCCTCTTGTGCTTTATAATGTTTTCTTATTCCACAGCTGCGGCACCATCTGCATTCTCCATAAAACTCATCAGAGTTACAGACAGGAAGTCAAATAATCGGGTCAGCGGGATTAGTTGGAAGGAGACAGGGGAAGGGAGGGCTCACCTGAAAGATCGCTGGCTCCACTTCTCCTGGTCCATATCTCGCGACAACCCCATCTTCCCCAGCCACAGGATGTTGTCGCAGGCGAAGTACATGGCACGGTTCAGGTGGCTCACCGTGATACAGAACCGCAGGACGACGTCCGATAAGTGGATGGCGCGCTTGGCTGACTCCAAGGCGTCAACAGAATTCCCCAACCGAAGCACTGTGGGACAAGAGGGTACTTTTAGTTTAAAGCTGATGTATAATCTGCTTATATTTTGCCTTCCTTGGTCTCTCTCTTCCCTCCAGCTCCCCCCACCCCATCAACATCCATCCCTGTTCAACTTACATTTCCGGCTGAGGCTAAAGTGTGCCTCCAGCTGTTTGATGATGGAGAGGAGCTCTGCGCTGGCTCCATTCTTCTGCAGTGTGTACCCGAGGAACGTGCAAGCATACTGCGAAGCTCTAGGAAAGAAAAGAAGACACATAAGCCGATTAGTGAGCACGATGGTGGCATCGCAACCACCAAGACGTGTCCCCACCAAGGCCACACAACCACCAGCACTACACTGAGGTCACACTGTTTCCTGGAAGGGCGCCCAGGCCTGCAGCAGTTCACCGATATTCCCCAATGTTGTATTCACATCTATTAATTGTCCAGTGTAAATGTCCTAGGACAGTGACATGACCCCCCTGCCCTAGAATGATGACCAATGAGTAGGAGGCGGGTCACTGACCAGGAGCTGCAGAGAGAATCTGCAGGAAACACATGGAGCCCTGTAGCAAGGCATGCTGGGACCCGTAGTCCATAATTTTCCCCTAGGTGCTCAGGCTGCCTATAGCTAGACTGGTTGTCATCTATAATCCATCATCCCCCTTAGAGGAACTTAGGCTGCCTGCGTTAAGTCATGTTGGGACCTGTAGTCCATCAACGCCTCTAGGACTCATGCTGTGCTCATGTGGTACAGATGCTAAACACAGAACCTGGGAAGAGTTGCGTTGCCCATTCAGTGGGCGCTGATCTGTCATTCACAAGTCAGATCCCATATTTACTATCTTTTCTGACAGCAGATAAGCACAGAATGAGGCTGCCTGCAGAAAGGCATGCTGGGACCTGTAGTCTATGCTTATCCCTAGGGGGCTCTGCCTGCAGACAAGCACACTAGCACCTCAATGTTTACCTGTGGGCCATCATTTTCCCTAGAGGCTGCCTGCGGTGAGGCATGCTGGGACTTGTGGTCTATCCTTATCCCTAGGGGGTTCTGCCTGCAGAGGGGTACACCAGGACCTGTAGTCCTTCATGCAATCTGCAGTCACAGGCTGTCTATCTCAATGTATACCCGTAGGACATCAGTTTCCCTAGGGGCTGCTTGCAGAAAGGCATTCTGGGACCTGTAGTCTATGGTTATCCCTAGGGGGCTCTGCCTGCAGAGAGGCACACTAGGACCTCAATGTTTACCTGTGGGTCATCATTTTCCCTAGGGGCTGCCTGCAGAGAGGCACACTAGGACCTGTAGTCCATCATTTTCCCTAGGGGCTGCCTGCAGCGAGGCATGCTGGGACCTGTGGTCTATCCTTATCCCTAGGGGGTTATGCCTGCAAAGAGGCACACTAGGACCTATAGTCCATCGGTTTCCCTAGGGGCTGCCTGCAGCAAGGCATGCTGGGACCTGTAGTTCACCATCCGCTTCAATGCATGCTAAAACATGTAGTTCAATAATTTCCCTGGGACTCCTGCAGCAAGGCATGCACCCTTCTCTGCCCCCCACCCAATGCATACTGGGACGTGTTTCCCACAACCCCCTTTATCCCCCTCAATGCACCTGTAGACAATTCTATCCCCTAGGTGCTCAGTCTGTAGCTAAGCTTGTTGTCACTTACAGTACACCATCACCTTTAGGCCTCTCAGGATCACGCTGGGCCTTGTAGTTCCCCTCCCCCGCAAGCTGCTATGAGTGACCCAAAAACAGAAGAGTCACCTGATGAGCCGCTCCTTAGCCTGGCTCTGGCTGCTGAACCTCACCCAGGAATCCATGTGTGTCCTGCTCCCTGCTTCAAGGTGTAAAGATCACTCAGAACGGCACTTCCGGGTGGAGTGGACGTTGCTTCCGGGTGGACTACGGGGCATAGGCGGGGACAAAACTTTCCACATTGTGCAGCGCCGTCTGTTCCGAGGCAAACCACGCCCCTGCTGTAGCTAGTATATTCCCGCCCCGCTCCCTAGCTTGGCTGACACATCACTATTACAATCAATAGGGGGAAAAAATCAATCAATCAATTAAAATAAATATATATATATATACACACAGTACTGTGCAAAGGTATTAGGCAGGTGTGCTGTAATGGTGTAAAGTAAATAAAAGTGCCCCATTTCCCTTCTTCCAATCAATATTTGGGGTGACCCCCTTTCCCTTCTCCCAATCAATATCTGGGGTGACCCCCCTTTGGCTTCTTCTATGTACACTTGCACACAGGTGTTGAAGGAAGTCGGCAGGTAGGTTGTTGTAGGTACATCTCGGAGAACAAAGCACAGATCTTCTGTGGATCCTTCTGTCTCTTCATGTCATCCCAAAACAGACCCCATGAGGGTGAGATCCAGGCCCTGTAGGTGCCCAACCATCACTTCTAGGACCCATTGTTCTTCTTTATGATGAAGATAGACATGGTCTGTATGTTTGGGGTGGTTGCCCTGCTGCAGAATAAATTTGGGGCCAATCACTCCCCTCCCTGATGGTATGACATGATGGATAAGTATCTGCTTGTATGTCTCAGCATTGAGGACACGATTGATCCTAACCAAATCTCCAACTCCATTGGCAGAAATGCAGCCCCAGACTTGCAAGGAACCTCCTCCAAGCTTCACAGTTGCTGCAGACACTCATTATTGTACCACTCTCTAGCCCTTCGGGAAACAAACAGCCTCCTGCTACAGCCAATTATTCCAAATTTGGACTCATCAGTCCAGATCACTTGCCGCCATTTTCTTGTGGCCCAAAAAGCCATATCTCCAACGTGGAAACAAGGCTACGCGACTCAACTATGCATGAAAACATAGGAAGTGGGGTGCGCAATAATGGCAGCAGGTGTTCTGGACTGATGTGTCAAAATTTGACTGTACCAGGAGGCAGTTTGTTCAGCACAGGGGCCTAGTGCTTAGCGCTTCTGCCCGGTAGCACTGGGGGTCCCTGATTTGAATTCCAGCTAGGTCACTCTCTACAAAGAGTTTGCATGTTCTTCCTCTGGGTACTCCGGATTCTTCCTACACTCCAAAGACATCCTGGAAGGTTAATTGTATCCTGTCTAAATTGGTCCTGTGTGTATGCATGTGAGATAGGGACCTTAGATTGTAAGCTCCTTGATGGCAGTGACTAATGTGTCCTGTGTAAAATTGTTGGCGCTATATAAATATCAATAATAAATTAAAAAAACAAGGGATGGAGAGCAGTGGTGTCACTAGAGTGGTGCGGCCCGCACCCGGGTGACACCATTTGAGAGGTGACCCAAAACAGTCATTTTGGTGTCACCACCCAGAGGCCGGGTGTCACCCGGAGCAGATACCGGGTTACACCCCGCTGTGATGTCATTGCGCATGCGCGGTCATCTTTTTGATACTTGCCGGCGGCCATCATGGTGATGGACGCCGGCAGAGAGAGGATGGGACGTTCACCCGGCGCGATAGGGTATGCCGTCGGGTCCCCTTCTCACTCTCCTGCAGCTGTCGGGCTCTCGGTCCATGACTGAGTACCTGACTTTTTAGAGGGGGTGACACCAAAATGACTGTTAGTCATTTTGGTGTCACCCCTCCAATGGTGTCACCTTGGTGTGGGCCGCACCCCCCTTGTGACGCCACTGTCACCACCTCTGAAAAGTCGGGCACTCGGTCATGGACAGTTGCACGAGAGAGGAGGAGACCCGGCGGCATACCTTATCCCACCGGGTGAACGTCCCCTCCTCTCTCTCACAGAGCCCATCACCAAGATGTCCGCACATGCGCATTACGCACGTGATGACGTTGCGCGTGTGTGCGATGACGTCACTGTGGGATGTCAGCCGGTACCCACTCTGGGTGACACCTGGCCTCAGGACGACTCTGCTGGAGAGGAAGATTGAGGTCTTCTAGCGTTTTGATGTTTCTTTTGATCTTGTTACGAAGTGTAAATGAAAAATACTTATCGCGTTCCCCTCTTTTCCTTTTAGCAAAATAATAAATTTGCTCCAATCACATCCTTGAGATGACGAAGGCAGTGGACTCGGCTGATGAGGACTGGACAAAGGCCTAGTGAGCAGCTCAAGCAAAGTCCAAGGCTCATAACAGTACTTGGACGTCCTGCCAATGATGGACATCTCTACCAACCTATTGGACGTCATGGTTTGCCACTGCTCTGCGTGGGCGGGCCTTGCAGAGCAGCGGCCACGCATGTTTTGTATATAGTTGTGTGTAATAAAAATGTAATCCTATACTAATGAAGCAAACATGATTTATTTTTGCATATATTTGCTTTTTTGAGTGACCTTTTTCTTGCAGGTGGATCTATAATTTTGTATATGATTTGCATGTTGCAAAATTTGCTACATAAGTCTTTTTTGCCTCGTTTGCAACGCGCGTTCACTTCCCATTGAACTCATTGGGGACGCACGGCAAACACAGCGCATGAACGCGTATGTGTGAATGTGGTGAAAACACCCAGGTGTGGCACAGGAAGAGCGTTGCAGGTACGTACAAGTTATCCTAAGTGGTTCACTGTGACAATAAAGGGTTAATTGGCTCGCTGAGTTCGGCCCCTCCTGCTCCTTTAATTGAGCGAGCTCGGTCCCGTTATTCACATAGAAAGCTCCCGCCCACACCGTTGCCTGTAGCCGCTGATTGGTTGGTAGTTCAAATACCCCGCCCCGTCCTGCATGAGTGACGTTTCAATATTTTCAGTCCCGTTATTCAGCCTCAGAGCTCCCGCCTCCTCCACTGACCAAGGTTAGGGATTGGCTGAGGGTGAGCCGAGTGACCGCTCAGTCTCTCTAGTCAGCCACTGAGTCCCGCCTACTATGGTGTAGGCGGCCGCTGATTGGACAGTACTGTGTTGAGTGGCAGCAGATTCTCTTGGGTCCCGTTCTCCGGCGGCGGACATGGAGTCGGTGGGCGCTCAGAGACTGCAGCCGGGGGTGTCGGTCGGCACTCTGCGGTCTCTCAGGCCCGGGGTGACGGGCGGAGCTCAGGCCACAGTTCCTCCTCCTCCCCTGAGCCTTGGGGTGTCGGGGAGCCCGGCGGTGCTGAGGGAGGCGGTAGAGGCTGTTGTGAGGAGCTTCGCTAAACACACCCAGGGCTACGGCAGAGGTGAGGGGCCCCGGGGGGCCACATAGTGGTCGTCGTGGGGGAATATATGGTGTACATGGGCTATGAGTGGTAGTAATAGGGGCAGGGGGCGACTCGAGGGGCCTTAAAGAGTAATCATAAGAGACAATAGGCCTTGAGGGGTAACTATAAAGGACATGGGGGCACGAGGGGTAACTATAAGGGACAAGGGGGCCATGAGGCGCTAACTAAACAGGACAGGAGGGAAGGTTAATGGGCATAAAGCAATGAGAGGTGCCATAAGGGGTAATTATAAGGGAGACTGGGGTCTTGAGGGGTCGTTATAAGGGACAGGGGGGCATGAGGGGTAATTGTAAAGGACAAATCGGGCATGCAGGGTATTAATGGACAAGGGGGCCATGCAGGGTAATTATAAGGGACACGGGGGCAATAAGGGGCATTTATAAGTGTCAAGGGGTATTTATAAGGGACAAGGGGGCCATGAGAGGTAATTATAAGGGATAAGGGGTAATTATAAGGGACAGGTGGCCATGCAGGGCAATAATGAGGGGTAATTATAAGGGACACGGGGGCAATAAGGGGTATTTATAAGTGACAAGGGGCCATAAGGGGTATTTATAAGGGGGACAGGGGGGCCATGAGAGGTAATTATAAGGGATGAGGAGTAATTATAAGGGACAGGTGGACATGTAGGGTAATTATAAGGGACAGGTGGCCATGCAGGGTAATTATAAGGGACAAGGGGGCCATGCAGGGTAATTATAAGGGATGCTGGGTTATTATAAGGGATGAGGTGGCCATGCAGGGTTATTATAAGGGACGAGGTGGCCATGCAGGGTTATTATAAGGGACGAGGTGGCCATGCAGGGTTATTATAAGGGACGAGGTGGCCATGCAGGGTTATTATAAGGGATGAGGTGGCCATGCAGGGTTATTATAAGGGATGAGGTGGCCATGCAGGGTTATTATAAGGGATGAGGTGGCCATGCAGGGTTATTATAAGGGATGAGGTGGCCATGCAGGGTTATTATAAGGGATGAGGTGGCCATGCAGGGTTATTATAAGGGACAAGGGGGCCATGCAGGGTAATTATAAGGGATGAGGTGGCCATGAGGGGTAATTATAAGGACAAGGGGGCCATGCAGGGTAATTATAAGGGATGAGGGGTTATTATAAGGGATGAGGTGGCCATGCAGGGTAATTATAAGGGACAGGGGGCACGAGGGTCTAACTAAAAGGGACTGGCACCAGGAGGTATGATTATTGGACGGGGGTAGGGGAGGGCGCAGACTTAGAGCAGGAGTGATTGCTGCAAGCTCCTGACACTCATAAGACCTGACAGTCTCGTGTTTCAGGCAGCATATAAACTCTAGATATGTGTCCGGGTTATGAGGTAAATCATTTCAGGCACAGAAACGGGAGTCTCACTGATCAGATGTATGGCAGAGCGGCGCAAACCAATGCCAACTGCTGGCTGCATAACAGCGCCCGTGGCACTACATATCCCAACATGCCATCCTACGCAGATTGATTCTGGGATGTGTAAACACACATTGCAGACCGCATCCCGCCTGTATTTGCATTCCGCTCGGAGATTTTGCGAAGGCGCTGTTTACAACATCTGGCCCCGGACACCAAACAAGGCTCCGTGCCTAATCCCATCTGCAGCTGTGCTCACGAATGTATCCCGTCTGCTCTCTGCGCTCAGAGTCGGCGCCCTAATCAAGACCAAGCCGCCGCCGAGCACTCTGTGCTGTGGTCTGCGCCTCCGCCATATGGGATGGATTGGTCCTGACGTCGCCAGGCCTGAAATTTTTTTTGTGATGTAAACTATCATTTGCTGGCCCAGCTGGCGGGGACGAGGCCCGGTCGCGGTGACCGCAATCTTACTTTGTGCGGCGCGGGTGCCGTGGTAAGCTAGCCTGGCATCTGTCAGGGGGGCTTAATATAGAAAATCAGCAGCTGCTGAACTTGCATTTGTTCTGCGATTGCTGCTTGGGAGCCGATTATCTTCACTTAACCTCGCAATAGGAACCCCCAACCCCTATCCCTGGCCCGCTAATTTATTACAAGCCTCCCTGTGCCTAAAAATGGCGGTCAATTGCTGCGGTGTTTGCATCCCTGTCCACGCTACGTATGCCTGCTCAATGAAGACTTGAATAGGTCTTCCCATGGGTGCCAAGCCCCATTGAAGCCTATAGGGCAGGGGTAGGCAACCTCGGCACTCCAGCTGTCCCATCATGTCTTGGGGAAACATACCTGTGACTGTCGGGCTTGCAATGCCTCATGGGACTTGTAGTTCCGGAACAGCTGGAGTTATTGCACTGGGGCAATATTTCTGCAGCGTTGCTGTAAACCCAACAGCTTGTCCACCGCCAGCCAAAATTAGGCACCGCAGCGGGTTAGGGGGTTTATCTACAATGGCTGAAGGATCTTTTGGAACCTATCAGGTAACTGGCCCACCTCCGGGAAGCCTGTTTTGAGCTTTCGGCCTGCAAGCTGCAACATAGTATAAGGACAGAAACAAGATATATATGTGTGTGTGTGTTGTGCCCTGTGTGTGTTTGTGTTATGCAGGGCAACTGGTGGCGAGTAACTTTGAAGGCCTATGGGTCTATAGTAAGGTATGCAATCAAAACCAGAAAGGTTTCAATGATGTTGATGGGAGAGGAAGCAGGGAAGGTGAAATATAAGCAGATTATACTTCTAAGACGAATGGGCTCGCACCTCTGATTTCTCTCTCCCTGTCCCCCCCCAGTAAACGTGGTGGAAGCTCTGCAGGAGTTCTGGCAGATGAAGCAGACCCGGGGGGCGGACCTGAAGAATGGAGCCTTGGTGGTCTATGAAATGGTCCCTTCCAACAGCCCGCCGTACGTCTGCTTTGTCACCCTGCCCGGCGGCAGCTGCTTTGGGAGCTTTCAGGTATTTTTATTTATTTATAACACTTCAAGAGCCTGTAGGAGGAGCTAAATAGTGTCACATAATGTTTTATTATTTACAGAGCACTGCAATTTTCTTCCATTACTTTGAAATGCTTCTAAAAACATTGATGATTCATTGCAGGTGAAGATGGCCCACTTTGGCATCCCGATAAGGGTGTATTAGCAAAAGTCTGGGCAATGGGCAAGGTCAGGGGGTTGAGTTCCATTAGTTATTAAATCTCGGTGTCATCGCACTTGAAGTAAGTTCATTGCTTTGTTGAGGCAGCTGAAGTCTCCATGAACGAGTTACAAACCTTTGTTAGCTGCTTGGTCTCTCCACACTTTTTTTTTTTTTTCCCTCTCTTCTATTTTTGTTCTGTCTTAGGTCATAAACGTTGCAATCCGATTGTATGTTCTCTGTACAATCGGCTTTAGATGTGAGGGCCTTCCTAAACAATCCATTGCCTTAGGTTTCAGTAGATGTAAAGGAGATTGTACAATCAAATTGTAACCTGTGTGGTCCGCTTTGGTTCCTGACCTTGTTCAGGGTCTGTCTTTCCTGTCATTATCTGCCTCTTGCTGTCCTGTCACTTGTCTCTTTCTGTGTTGGGCTTTCTCCTTTTACCCCCTCTGAAAGGGTCACACCAACTGAAGTCAGAGTTTCAGGATTTGATTACTGTTGGCAAGTTAGTGACCCCGGGGCAAAGTAAAGGGGTCAGTTACCCTTGTGACACTGTAAGGGTCAGGGGACCCCCTATGGCAGTTTAGGGGGCTGGAGGGAGGACCACCCTATCATAGTATAGACAGCAAAGGATTACCCTATAGATTTTCAAGGAACATTCTATGACTATGTGGAGGATTGGGGGCCACCCTGTGACGGTATAGAGAGCTGGGGACCACACTGTGACGGTATAGAGAGCTGGGGACCACCCTGTGACGGTGTAGAGAGCTGGGGACCACCCTGTGACGGTGTAGAGAGCTGGGGACCACCCTGTGACGGTGTAGAGAGCTGGGGACCACCCTGTGACGGTGTAGAGAGCTGGGGACCACCCTGTGACGGTGTAGAGAGCTGGGGACCACCCTGTGACGGTGTAGAGAGCTGGGGACCACCCTGTGACGGTGTAGAGAGCTGGGGGACCACTCTGTGACGGTAATAGTGTAGAAGGCCAAGGATCATACTGTAACAGTGTAGTGTGTTAAGGGCAACTTTATGACAATATAGAGGCCTGGGGGGCCATAATATGACAGCCTGAAATTGGGGGCAACCTCATGACGACATAGAGAACTGAGAGGGCCACCCTGTGACGGTAAGAGAGCCGTGGCCACCCAGTAATAGTATAGATGATCAAGGTCCATCCCGTGACAGTGTAGAGGGTCGGGGACCATCCCGTGACAGTGTAGAGGGTCGGGGTCCAGCCCGTGACAGTGTAGAGGGTCGGGGGCCATCCCGTGACAGTGTAGAGGGTCGGGGGCCATCCCGTGACAGTGTAGAGGGTCGGGGGCAATGCTATGACATAGAGAGCTGAGGGCCCGTCTATGACCGTAGAGAGAGCTGGAGGCCAGCCTGTAATAGTATAGATCAGGAGTAGTCCACCTCAACCAATCCACAGCAGTTGTGGAAGTCCCATGATGCATTGCAAGACTAACAGCCAGAGGCATTATGGAATTTGTAGTTTTCAGCACAGCTGGCGTGCCAAGGTTGCATACTCATGGTATAGATGGTTGTGGGCCACCCTGTTAGAGCCTAGAGGGTCGGGGCCCACCCTGTGACAGTATAGGGTAACGTGGAGGGTTGAAGGCCCCTGGGATGGGGGGGGGGAGGGGTCTCTGAGAACATATGGTCGTTGTACCCTTGGCTTTATATGAAGCCATAATAGGTTTATAGGAGTGTCTGGTTTTACATATTTGCTTCTCTTGCAGTGCGAGGGTTTAAAAAAATAAAGGGGTCGCTGGTTGTACATGGCGGTTGCAGCAGCTCCACATTCCCCTTTTTATTGTTCCATTTTTATGGGTTTTCTTAGAAAACATCTCCAGATTTCACGGCAAGTCACTGTGACAAATACTTTACTACGGCTGCATGTTTTCATCCGTCACAGTCTCCAAATACCACAGACGGGTCCCCCGGAGAGACTTTTATTGTTTGAAGCCTTGCAGGAATACATTTTTGGTGGGGGGGAGGGAGGAATTGGGTTAGTTATAGGTTGCCACATTGGATCGACATTAACTATTCACCATCCGCAAATGGTAAACGTAAAGGACTTAGGAGCTCTTCTCTCTCCTCTCTACTACTATCAGCATGTTCCTTGTTAGCAAATGAGCCCTGCAGTACAAATGATTAGCACCTTGTGCTGCTTTTCCCTCTCCCAGTCTATGCTCTGCTGTGCAGGGATTGCAAGAGGCTGATGTCAGGTCAGATCCATGTACTCATGCTTGAAAGAAAACGCTGGTTGTATGTGTGGGAAGACCTTAAATGTTTCACAAGAGTTAAGACTAGTGCACCCGGCTCTAATTAGTCTGAGTGTTCTCTGGCAATTCCTCGCCCTTCATCAGTGTAAAGACATGCGTTTTTCCCTCGCCGCATTTGTGTTGTGACAACGAGAAGCAGATGAGTTGTCTGACACATGAAATAGTTTGCAGATGCGGTTGGTGGGAAGTTCATTTATTTTCCGTGTTCGTTTCTTAGGGGAACCGCGAGGAGGCCGATAACCCCAATACCGGGATCGGGGCGTTCCGGTTCATGCTGGAGGCAAACAAAGGAAAATCCATGCTGGAATTCCAGGTATTTCTTCACAACGTTCAGGGTAAATGTTGTTTGGTCAACTGGCATTGAAGTGAATGCTCCACTCGACACCGACCCCGGTGCCGCTGCCTCTTCTTACCTGTGAGGAGTCATTAACAGGCGGCTGCAGTACCGGTCGGCATGGTTGTAAATTGCAGCTGCTGCACTGCTGTTTGTCTCCAGTAGAGGGCGCCGAGAGGATACTATGGCACAAACACAAGTGGCTATCTCCAAGGGACCTGACAGTTTGATTGTTTGAGAGACTTGACAGGGTCTCTTTATTGTTTTAAATGTTCCCCCACTGATAGATTCAGGAGAATAAGATGACTTGTATGCAAATTAGTAGGGATGCAGTGATACAATTTTACCAAGACAAGTACTTGCCGATAGCAATTACAGATACTTTTTTTTTTTTCTTTTAGTGTCATGTGACATTTTTTCTACAACAGTACCGACTAATGTTTTTAGGACCGTGCCAGGGCCCGGTCACAGCTGCAACCGCTATGACCCTGGTAGTTCTGCCACTGACTCCAAGCTGTAGAGGGACTAAAAATCTCAGCAATACATTATACAGCAATGTAGAATAATATCAGCTATAGAGGACTACAAATCTCAGCAATACATTATACAGCAATGTAGAATAATATCAGCTATAGAGGACTACAAATCCCAGCAATACATTATACAGCGATGCAGAATACCACCAGCTATAGAGTCTGGGAAGGTTCTCATTCATCCAGGTCATGGTATATCTGTAAAAATTAAGCCGAGGCAACTGGACTTTCTGTATTTTTCTTGAAGACGTCCAGTTTTCTTGGTCGGATGTCCAGTGAAACGTCTTCAAGAAAAATACAGAAAGTCCAGTTGCCATGACTTATTTTTTACAGATACGCCAGCTATAGGGGACAACAAATCTCAGCTATACATTATACAGCAATGCAGAATACCACCAGCTATAGAGGACTACAAATCTCAGCAATACATTATACAGGAAAGCAGAATAATACCATCGGCTATAGAGTACCTAAAATCCCAGCACCACATTATACAGCAATGCAGAATACCACCAGCTATAGAGGACTACAAATCTCAGCAATACATTATACAGCAATGCAGAATAACATGAAGCTACATACTTTGTGTTCCTCCGGGGTGGCGACATGATATCTCCAAGGTCTCGGGTGGGCTATGGAGGATGTCAGGTGGGCAGTGGAGGTTCTCAGGTGGGCTTTTTTTTTTGGGGGGGGGGGCTGTCCATAGGGTCTAACCAGGGGTCCCCAGGGTCCGGATGGTCTTGCCGGTGGGAGTGGGCAGCGGGGTTCACCAGTAAGGAGGAGCAGATGTTTGGCCCAGAGCTGTTAACAGGCGCCGCAGTTCACAGGAAGGCTGCCGAGGTCCCCAGCAAGCGTGGGACCTCAGACAGCCATTTCCGTTTTAAAAATGTAAAGCCCCGGTATCTGCCCAGTATCCGTACTGGTATCGGTGCATCCTTACAAATTAGCATTATGTTGAATTTTAAGAATTCCTGTATATGTGACTTCTCTCTCTCTTTTTTTCCTCTAGGAACTCATGACGGTCTTCCAGCTCCTCCACTGGAACGGCAGTCTGAAGGCTATGCGGGAACGGCAGTGCTCCCGTCAGGTACGCATCCTATAGTGTCATGTGGAGTCTGCACTTGTCAGTCACTATATCATACACTAGAGCAGGGGTGGGCAACTCCGGCCCTCCAGCTGTGCTTTAACTACAAATACCATCATGCCTCTGGGAGTCATGCCTTTTGGATGTCATTCTTACAGTGCCTTATGGGACTTGTAGTTCCACAAGAGCCCTGTCCCTCACATCCTATACAGTGTCATGTGGTGTTTTCACTCAATCACATCATCACATATACACTAGAGCAGTGATTCTCAACCTGTGTAACCTCAGGACCCACATTTCTCCATGGTCATGAAGTTGCACCGTCCTGGAATGCACGGCAATGCGGTACCACGTGTTTTGGTGTGGGCGATCGAACTGTGGGCAGGAGGTGCGTTTGGGGTGTCCAAATTAATGGCGATGCAACGCACTTTCTGCACCAGACCGCCAGGTAGGTGCAATTGCGTTGAAAAGTGCGTTAATCACACTTTTTTTCAGGGGCCATCCAGTCTCCGTACCTTACGAGAACTGGAGTGAATCCTCAGCCTGGGGCCTTCATATGTGCATTGCTTGTACAGCTCCCTTGCCCACCCTGTAGAGGTGACGAGAGCCAAAATGTGATGTCCATCCGGTCCAGGCGCCTCTACAGGGCACGGGAGGTAGTATGTATAGATGGAGCTCCCTCCCTGCCATTCACCCACCTCACCTCAAGCTGACACTCTACGCTGGGCAGCATATTTCGAATGGCTGCTCGGGGCAAGAACTAACAGCGCTGCATTAGTGGGAAGGCTGAAGAGCCTCTCCCCTTAAGCAGTCACCAACTTTTGGGTCATGACCCACCAGTTGAGAACCACGGCACTAGAGGGCACCCTCTCCTATAGTGTCATATGTGTCTGCACTTGTCATTCACTATATTGTACACTAGTGGGCGCCCTGTCCTATGGTGTTCTGTAATGTTATTTCATCTGCACTTGTCTGCTATATTGTAAATCTATCATGCATATATCCCTAATGACGAGTATTTTTTTTTTTTTATATTCAGGAGGTTCTGGCCCACTACTCCCACCGGGCCCTGGATGACGACATGAGGAACCAGATGGCTATGGACTGGGTAAACCGGGAGCAGGACTCTCCAGGAACCCTGACCCGAGAGCTGTCGGCCACCGAGAGGCAGCTGGATGACGCCCGGCTAGCCGGGAAGGAGCTCCGTTACCACAAGGAGAAGAGGGACATCCTGATGCTGGCCGCAGGACAGTTGGGGAACATACACTCCTCCAACTGCTAGATGGAGCCTTGCCCTCCCACCAATCCATGCAATAGGCAGGCTGCATCAGTGTTAGTGGTTAGCTGGTCCTGCATGTGATTATGTGCCTCCCTGGTGTCACCTAGTGGGCAAATAGAGAATTGCATTTGTGAATGGGATTGAAGCGTGGGTCCTCCCAAAAGTGATATTTATTACAGAGGAGGGTGTGCTATGACATCCACTGACTCTCCTTTTATTTCTTGAGTACTCCAGCAAGGAGATCTACCAGCCATAGTTCTCTTCTTGCCCACCTGTATACACAGTCTCCAGCAAGGAGTGTGAGATCCACTCAATGGCTCGGGAACCCAAAGATCTTGTCACTGGAGTCCTCCAGAGATGGTGAAAAAAACGGTTTAACTTTAAATATTAGTTTTGGGAGGAGTGACCACTTAAAGGACTGCCCTCGAGCACTAGGAGGTTTCAGAATCTGTGCATTGTAAGTCCAGCCTCTCTATAGTATTTTGGCTTCGCAAACAGAATGTAGAAATTGTAATATTTCTCAGGAGTCTCAACTACAAGCAGGGAGACTTCAGGCAATGGAAGTGTCACTGGAAGGAGTGAAGAATTCTGGGTAAATGCATTTCAGGCTTGGAATTGGATTCCTTGTGGGATTGTAAAGCATTGCACAACCTTTGCTGACACAGAACGTACTGTGTTGTGCTAAGGGGGTCCAATCAGCTAACGTACTGTCCCTAGATGGGGTTCTTAGTGAAAAGGTAGTCCAGCAAGCTGAAGTACTATCCCCAGATGAGGTTCTGCATGATAAGGAGGTCCAATAAGCTGAAGTACTTCCACAGCTGGAGTTCTAAGGGGGTTATGTAACCTGATGGGGTTCTGAGTTCTAAGGGGGTCCAATAACCTGAAGTACTTTCCCCAGATGAGGTTCTAAGGGGGTACAGTAACCTGGATTACTGTCCACAGATGGGGTCCAGAGTTGGGCATTAAAGGAGAATCCCCCCCCCCCTTCTCTGTCCTCCAAACTCTGATTCTTAAAGCCCCTCTGCCAGGTATCTGCAAGCTCAGTGCATACTTACCAACATTATGATCCTGGGACACTGTTAACCCCTCCCACTTTCTGAGTGGACATTTGCAAATCACACCCACATTATAAGTTGGTCTCGCCCAGACCCTGCTGTTTGGTATGCAGGGATCTCCAATTCGCAACCCCATTCCCCACAATTAAGGCCCTTTTAGTGTTGCTGCACATGTGCAGTAACTCAAGGTTGGTTTGGTGATCCAGGGATGCTTAATCCCGCCCACAATCTGCATTTCATCCACCCAGTTTCTGGATGGGCACTCCCACTTCACAGGCTAGTCCCACCCAGACCCCTGCCCGGCCAAATTACACCCACTTTTTTGGTTG